CAATAATAATAGCGGAGCCTCAACATTGGATTTGCAGCGTTACGCATTCTAGCCATTCGCTCTGCAGCTGAAGTGAATGACAGCTTGGGAGCTCTCGTTGCTCGCTTTCTGTAGCCTATATCATTTTATTTTTAAGATTTTTAATGCTTCTGTAAAGGACTAACGGCCGCATAGCCTATACACTGCAGAGTTTAAGGGAGACAATGGCACTTAACAGTAAAGTCGTATCTAAATATGTTCTTTTCATTTATGAAGATTTAAGCATGTAGTTTATGCACATTTGTTCAAAACAGCCTGGCAGGTTGTTCACAAGATGTAGGCAACAGTTTGTATTGTATACAGGAAGGATGCGCGTTCTTATCATTCTTCCGTTGCGCAGCTTGTCTATTTCTCTTCAAAGCACCAACTTAAAATGCCTATTTTGGTTTGATTGCTTGTGTCACATGAGAAAATGAATAATTTTGCCTTACTGATGCAGTAGCCTATTTAATGTGCAGTTCAGGTCGCGGTCTTGATGTTAAACGGGTCGGGTACAGAATTAAATTGGTGCTGGCTGCTCTCGGATATCCGGTCGTGTGTTCTGTTGTGTAGCTACTGCGGATGCAGGTTTACCTAACAGCACCCGTGCAGGACTCTGCTTTAAACTGCTTTGCGTCTCTCTGTCAGATAACCTCACGTGTATGATGCGCCATTTACGGGTATTTCCCTAAACCGACACACATCAATTTATTTATTTTTTATTTCAGTTTACGAAAATGTTTTTTGATCAAGCGTTTTCGTCTTAAAAAACGTTTATTTAAAATGCAAACTCATTCTTTGCCAGCAGGAGGCACTTTTAGAGTGATAAAACTAGCGGTTTCTCCAGCAACGGCTGTAATCAAAGCAGCTCCGCTCATGAACGCTACTTTATCAGATCCAATGAAAATGCCATCGAAACTATTCTGAAGACAGTCGGTTCCCTTCAGAGATACATTCATATAAAACACCCGCGCCGTGTTATGATTTTGAAACGTGCAGTGCTCGTGTTTATTCAACGAAGTCAAACGGCACAAATAAATCAATGTATGGGAAACTGGTAATGTATGTTGAAATATCGTAAATGTGTTTAAAAATCATATCACCGTTATTGAAAAAAATAATATCGCGATACATATTGATATCGAATTATTGTCCAGCCCTATCCCTACCACATGTAAATGGTGCGTAAAATCGTTCTGTGTTCTTTTTGGCAAACCGATGACACTGAATTTTGATGCACTGCCATTATAATATTTGACAAGTTTGCTCAGTTTTTTTTTTTTTTTGTAGCTGGGAGTTGATAAGCGCTGTGTTTTAAACAAAGCTAAACAGTTTGTCACTGTCACTTTTTACCCAGCCGTCCAATCAATGGAAGAGGGGCTGGACAAATGCTACACCGACCAATCATCCTACTTGGACAGCAACTGAACAACAATAGAGAAGTTAATATTGCTGGTTACTGCATTTTTATATTTAGTGATCTTCAAAATGAGATACTAGTAATACATTACTGCTGTGGATATTCCTTATCATAGCAACCAAAGCGCTGTGCCACCAAAGCATTCTCAAGCGCCACCAGCTGGCCGTTTTCAGAAGAGCGCCTGACATTTTTCAGCTAGCTAAAAACACTTTGGTGGACAAGTTTTTGAATATTTATTGTTAGGCATATATATATATATATATATATATACATATATATATATAGCCGCGCCACACGGATACGTCTTCTACGTGTATTTATGCTTTGATTTGAACGAAAACAGCGTATGCTTGTGGCGCGCCCGTGCGGCTGACACAGAACAGCGTATGCTATTTGCGTCCAGCGGATATTCTCCAAAATGGCGCTACGCTGAATCAGATGAGACGAATTGTTGAATAAAGTTTTTCTTTTCATTGCATACAAAAAGTATTCTCGTCTCTTCATAACTGTCAGATTGAACCACTGATGGCAGATGGGACTATTTTGACGATGTTTTTCATACTTTTCTTGGCAGGTGAACGGCTTCTCTCCGGTATGAATTCTCATGTGCCTGTTCAGGCTTCCTTTTTCAGTGAAACTCCTTCCACACTGTTTGCATGTAAAAGGCTTCTCTCCTTTGTGAATTCTCATATGGACTTCAAGGTTTGCATGTCTAGAGAAACACTTTCCACACTGAATGCAGGAGAGGCTTCCATTTTGTGTGGATGTCTTGTTAGTCAGTGAGCATCCAAAAGTTTTTTCTCCAGTTGTGAAATCGAAATTTTCATACAGATTTTGTTCTTCCTTATCCTTCAGTTCTTGACTCCCCTCTTTCAGCGGCATCAGGCCTAGGGTTAAAACAGAGAAATTAAAGACAAAAAACAACAGACATCAAAACAAGGCCGGGACACACCAAGCCATTGGTCAACGTCAGGCCATCAGTGAGTGTCTGTCGGGCTAGTTTGTTTGGTGTTTCTCACATCGGTTCTCGTCGGGCTCATGTCAGCGGCCGTGTTGAACATGTTGAATCAGCGTCTGGGCCGTCAGCATGAGTAAGAACTCTGATTGGATGCCTAGTTTCTCGAAGCAGTCATTGCCAGAGAATTAGAGTGAAAGTGATGAAAATGAACACAGACAGAAGGATGTTCTAATGTTATGTGATCTTACCCAAGCATTCCAATATGTGAATATTTTCATCATGGCTCATGTTGTTAAGTTATCAACATAACTGATATTCAAAATGGTGAGCAAGCGCAGAGTCGTTTACGTTTCGTATATCATTGTTTCGGTTTCTCCTTTTGAATGACTATTCAATACTATTAAAAGCTGCTGATATAGACAGCTACATCTCATGCAGGCGCAGAACGCATGTGTTAGTTTGCAGTCGGCTGAAGTCTGAGAGCGGTGTTCAAGTACAGCTTTTTGTTCCAGACGCTGACGTTTCTTTGATTGAAACTTTTTCCACACTGAGAGCAGGTGAAAGGTCTCTCTGCAGTGTGAACACTCATGTGGCCGTTGAGGTGTCCCCTATCAGAGAAACTTTTTCCACATTGTTGGCAGGTGAACGGCTTCTCTCCGGTATGAATTCTCATGTGCCTGTTAAGGCTTCCTTTTTCAGTGAAACTCCTTCCACACTGTTTGCATGTAAAAGGCTTCTCTCCTTTGTGAATTCTCATATGGACTTCAAGGTTTGCATGTCTAGAGAAACCCTTTCCACACTGAATGCAGGAGAGGCTTCTATTTTGTGTGGATGTCTTGTTAGTCAGTGAGCAATCAAAAGTTTTTTCTCCAGTTGTGAAATCGAAATTTTCATACAGATTTTGTTCTTCCTTTTCATTCAGTTCTTGACTCCCCTCTTTCAGCGGCATCAGGCCTAGGGTTAAAACAGAGAAATTAAAGACAAAAAACAACAGACATCAAAACAAGGCCGGGACACACCAAGCCGTCGGTCAACGTCAGGCCATCAGTGAGTGTCTGTCAGGCTAGTTTGTTTGGTGTTTCTCACATCGGCTCTCGTCGGGCTCACGTCAGCGGCTGTGTTGAACATGTTGAATCAGCGTATGGGCCGTCAGCATGAGTAAGAACTCTGATTGGATGCCTAGTTTCTCGAAGCAGTCATTGCCAGAGAATTAAAGTGAAAGTGATGAAAATGAACACAGACAGAAGGATGTTCTAATGTTATGTGATCTTACCCAAGCATTCAAGTTATCAACATAACTGATATTCAAAATGGTGAGCAAGCGCAGAGTCGTTTACGTTTCGTATATCATTGTTTCGGTTTCTCCTTTTGAATGACTATTCAATACTATTAAAAGCTGCTGATATAGACAGCTACATCTCATGCAGGTGCAGAACGCATGTGTTAGTTTGCAGTCGGCTGTAGTCTGAGAGCTGTGTTCAAGTACAGCTTTTTGTTCCAGGCGCCGACGACACGAGGCGACAACACCGTCTGCTTTCGTTGCTGCTAGTTTTTTGAAGTCTGCTTGGTGTGTCCTGGCCTTTAGACAAGTGGTTGTCAACATTTTTTGGCCCAGCCACCACCCACCCAAGCCATGGTTTGTCGTGGTGGATCTGAGGGATTCTTACTTTCTCATATAGACTGTATAAGACCACAGGAAGTTCCTCAGGTTCACTTTTGGGAGCATAGTGTACCAGTTTTGAGAACTTCCATTCTGCCTGGCAGTAGCACATTATTGGCACTTTTCCACTGCATGGTACGGCTCGGTACGGTTACCTGGTACTTTTTTTAGTACCACATCGGTTGGGGTTCCAAGTGAACCGTACCGTTACCAAAACATGACGTGTAAACTCTGCTGATCACGGATTGGCCGGAGAGAATCGTCACTACCTGCATCACTGAACTTGTGACACAAACACAAAAGAACCGCTAGATTTAAATCAGCACAGCCAGTGAAGGATCGAACGCAACTGTTTTGAACGAGCGCACCTTTTTTAACAACCAAAAAGTGGCTGTTTCGTTGTCTGTTGAGGAAGTACAGACGTTCCTCTCGTTGATAGCAGAGGAGCGGATCCAGCGAGAGCTTGATGGGGCGACGCGGAATGAAAACGTTTTTCAGGAGTCGTGGCAGTAGAGGCGGCGCAACTATAACGACGCAAACCGTGCCGAGCCGTACCGTACTAAGCCGAGTAGTACCACGTAGTGGAAAAGCGCCATATATGTTCACAAAGTGCATGGATGCAATTCTGGCTCTATTTACACTGCCAGGCTTAATGCATCAATCTAGTCTTTTGACACAATTGACAGTACCCGATTTTTTGTCTTGTTAACGGTTATCGGATATCGGTGTTTACATTAATCCTGACCCCCAAACTTATTCTGTTTGTGATCACTTTACTATTGACATAGTTGACCCTCGGGGTATTGAATTACAAGTACTTATATAGTTCACACTGAGTTGGACCATGACTACTCACCAGCATGGTTAAGTGCTTTTCTGCAGTTTGACACAGAATGAGCGATTGCATGAGACATGTCAGTAAGTTGTACTGTAGGTTCTCTTATTCACATCAGTGTTAACTCTGTGGAAGAGTATGTCGCGTTGTACAGTATATTGATACGAAGGCACCAGAACTGTAACTGGTCGAATGTGCGCTGTAGCACGATACTACAATATTTCTTCAAAAGCAGATCGTGGAGACATTTCCTGACAATCGTGATATTGCACACCCCTAAATAGACTAATATCTTGATAACAAGAAGCCATATTAGTAATGGTTATAAACTAGAATTGTTAACGATATTGCCAATATCCACGCAACTGTCAGCTTTACCTGTTGTAGTTTAAGTTGAGCACGATATAGACACTGCTTTTGTACACTTTCACTATACACGTCTCTCTCGCGCTACACAACTGAGCTGCATTTAGCAGGTGTGCCGTCAATACTGCTGTGCTGCAGAGACGAGGACTGCTTCAAACTCTTTTTTTACGACAAACTAAATTTTAGGGTGAACTATCCCTTTAATGACAGTCGGCTGCATGTTTAGTACTGTCCCTTTAAGACCTGCACGCATCCATTTTTCTCTTTAACTGTTTACTTTCATTTTAGACATAACCAACTTAGTCTATATGTAAACCTTGTGTGTTTTGACAGTATTAGCGCTAAAGATAACTTAGTTCAGTGATCAGGCTCTGTTTAACAGGTTTTTTTAGTTTAAAAACCTGTTAAACAGCGAATGAAATGTTTAACCGGCAAGGCTTTAAAGCAGATGCAAATAATGTACTTTTGTGATTGCGAATAAGTGCAGTGTCCCGTGAGAGTTACATTCACATCAGTGTTAACTCTGTGGAAGAGTATGTCGCGTTGTACAGTATATTGATACGAAGGCACCAGAACTGTAACTGGTCGAATGTGCGCTGTAGCACGATACTACAATATTTCTTCAAAAGCAGATCGTGGAGACATTTCGTGACAATCGTGATATCGCATACCCCTAAATAGACTAATATCTTGATAACAAGAAGCCATATTAGTAATGGTTATAAACTAGAATTGTTAACGATATTGCCAATATCCACGCAACTGTCAACTTTACCTGATGTAGTTTAAGTTGAGCATGATATAGACACTGCTTTTGTACACTTTCACTTTGCACGTCTCTCTCGCGCTACACAACTGAGCTGCATTTAGCAGGTGTGCCGTCAATACTGCTGTGCTGCAGAGACGAGGACTGCTATAAACTCTTTTTTCCACTAAAACTTTGGTGCGCATCGTCTCAGTTTACTACGTGAACGTAAGAAAAGATGTGATCGCAAAACAATAAGCCAGTGGCGACCTTAGCAAAAACTTCACTAGCAAATTAATATTTTTGGTCACAAATGCGACCGTTTTAGTCGCAGTCTGGAGCTTACATCTGTATCCCAACTCAAACTCTGTACTTTACTGTCAAATGTCCATTTCCTTAAGACAAATTATGTAACGATATTAGTAATTGCATTTGGTGAAATACAATGGTTATATTGTGATTAAGATTAGTTTCTGTCCTCTCTTTTTATTGCTATTTACGTTCAGGTAAGATAATAGTACAGTGCTTTTACAGACAAATAGAAAAATGTAAATTATGCACAACAAATGTAATCGCTCACAATTATCGGTTTGCATTAATTAGACACTTGCATAATTAAATGATAGAAATGAATGGTTTTCATTAAAGGGGTCATATGATGCGATTTCAAGTTTTCCTTTCTCTTTGGAGTGTTACAAGCTCTTGGTGCATAAAGAAGATCTGTAAAGTTGCAAAGACTAAAGTCTCAAATCCAAAGAGATATTCTTTATAAAAGTTAAAGAGTCAGCCACGCCTACCTAAAACAGCTCGTTCTAACACGCCCCCACATGTCTACCTCACTATGTGGGAAGATTTGCATAACGCCGCCCAAATGTTCACGCCAAGTAAGAAGGCGTAACTTTTATTCTCGCTGTAGTATTGTTGCTGCCGCCGCCACGTCGTGGAGACGCTGTGTTTTGTTGTGAAAGCGAAACTACTTTGTTTGGCCTTCCAAAAGAGGACACAACTAGAAATCAGTGGTTAAAGGGATAGTTCACCCAAAAATGAAAATTTGATGTTTATCTGCTTACCCCCAGGTCATCCAAGATGTAGCTGACTTTGTTTCTTCAGAACACTTTTGATGATTTTTAAGTCCAACCGTTGGAGTCCATCAGTCTTATAATGGATGGCAATGGTAACAAAATCTATGAGTGTAAAAAAAAACATGCACAGACAAATCCAAATTAAACCCTGCGGCTTGTGACGACACATTGATGTCCTAAGAAACGAAACGATCGGTTTGTGCGAGAAACCGAGCAGTATTTATATAATTTTTTACCTCTAATACACCACTATGTCTAACTGCTTTAAGCGCGCGCACGACTTCCGGTGCGTGGGGTGTGTACGCGCTCTGGCGTAGTTTACGCAAGCGCCGGAAGTGATCTCTCGTGCGTATACGTCACTCATTGTTTACACAGTGCACAGTCATTGTAGGTACGACGGCTAATCAAAATGGTACTTACTTGCGCTTATCCGGATTGTTCAAACCAACTTCTGAGCCTGCTCACCTGAAGTTATGGTTGATTGCTCTTCGGCTGGATATCAACACACTGTGACGAGTCGGCTGCCTCCCCCTAATTATCAGCATCACCCCGTCCCTTAATCGCCGCCCTTCTTCCGGCTCCCGACATGAGTGGGTGCTTGAGAGAGGAGGGGACACCTGAACCTCATCACCGCTGCTGTTTAAATGCTGAGCGCGCCTCTCCTCGGGAGACCGGTCTCTTCCCCGTGCATGCACGCTGGTGTCCTCGTGGGTCCAGGAGGGGTGAGTAGAGGAACTCCCGTGCCGCCAGAGTCGTGAGCTGCCGAACCCGCAGTCCGGACGAGAACCGCACCCATTACATGGCCGTCGGGCAAGGATGTTGGGCAGTCTAGTCCCTTCAAGCGCCGTGGACAGAGAGATGGACGAAGCCGCTGATAGAAGCCGCCGCCCCTCGCGCCCTGGACCGAAGAGGGGAGCGCATGCGGCCGCCGGACTCCGCCCCTTACCTGGACCCTTCCTGACCACTGCCCTTCCCTGCACGAACCCCCGCAGCATGACGAGGACACCAGATCCCCTGTTTATTTTGGACACTTTGTTTATTTTCTGTTAATAAACTGTGTCTGTCGTTTGCTCCTCCTGCGACAACACACCCATTAACGTAAACTACGCCAGAGCGCGTACACGTCGCACGCACCGGATGCCGTGCGCACGCTCAGAGACAGTTGGACATAGTGCTGTATTAGAGGTAAAAAATTATATAAATACTGCTCGGTTTCTCGCACAAACCGATCGTTTCGTGTCTTAGGACATCAATGTGTCGTCACGAGCCGCAGGGTTTAATTTGGATTTGTTTGTGCATGTTTTTTTTACTCTCATAGACTTTGTTACCATTGCTATGCATTATATGACTGACAGACTGCAACGGTTGGAGATAAAAATCATCAAATGTGTTCTACTGAAGAAACAAAGTCACCTACATCTTGGATGCCCTGGGGGTAAGCAGATAAACATCACATTTTCATTTTTGGGTGAACTATCAAGTTGTATTTACAACTCTGTTCCAGAACACTTCAACCCAAATATTCAGATGTGTGCAGCACATTTTACGGAGGACTGTTTCCTGATCATGGGAGAGTAGACTACAATGCCTGCAGTTCTGACTCACAGACTGTAAGTACATTTTCATTTAAAGGATTTGTCACTGATGATTCAAACGCGAGTTTTGGGCAGTGTAGAGTAGCGTTTGTTGTTTGTCATTTATCCGATCACAAATGCAGACATGGTTTTATGTTACGCTCCGGCCGGACACGGCATCATCACAGTATGGTGAGGGCGTAACACTTCCGTCACACGCTTGAGGTATTCAGCCAATCACAACGCACTGGATAGCTGGCCAATCAGAGCACACCTCGCTTTTCAGACCGATGAACTTTGTAAAAATCGACGTTTTTCAGAAAGGTGGGGCATAGAGGAGAAACAATAATGTACAGTATGTGGAAAATAATGTGTTTTTTTTTACTTTAAACCGTATAAACACATTTCATTACACCAAACACACAAATAATGTTCTTTTTAGCAGCATCATATGACCCCTTTAATTTCAATTTATAAGTAGCTAAATAAAAATGCTTTGTTTAAGCTACTTCCATATTATTTTTCCTAATTTAATCTGCAATGTCATAATAACGAATGCCCAACTCAAAGTAGGATCTTCTCAGCTGCACCTGAAGGCAGTGTTTAAAATAAAACCACTTTAATAATGACACTAGTATGATATTCTTCAAAAATAGTCATTCCTGTAGACACTGACATTTTAATATCAAAAGATAGCTGGCCAATCACAGCACACCTCGCTTTTCAGACCGATGAGCTTCGTAAAAATCGACTTGTTTCAGGAAGGCGGGGCATAGAGGAGAAACAATAATGTACAGTATGTGGAAAATAATGTGTTTTTTTTTACTTTAAACCGTATAAACACATTTCATTACACCAAACACACAAATAATGTTCTTTTTAGCAACATCATATGACCCCTTTAATTTCAATTTATAAGTAGCTAAATAAAAATGCTTTGTTTAAGCTACTTCCATATTATTTTTCCTACTTTAATCTGCAATGTCATAATAACGAATGCCCAACTCAAAGTAGGATCTTCTCAGCTGCACCTGAAGGCAGTGTTTAAAATAAAACCACTTTAATAATGACACTAGTATGATATTCTTCAAAAATAGTCATTTCTGTAGACACTGACATTTTAATATCAAAAGCGGTTCAGCTTCGAGAATGAAAACCAACCTGTGTGTTCCTCAGTATCTTCTTGCTTCAGACTGAACACCTCTTCAATCCTCACATCTTCACTCTCTTCTTTAGTAAAGGCCATCTTTATAATAGTGTCTCAGCTGCTTCTGTGTGTGGACAGTCTGTTTAAGAGAAGAAGCATTAACAAAGAAAAATACATCCAAACTAGCTCTCTCAGCTCCCTAGCTCAGAGTGAGTTAATCACCTTAAATGCCCCGACTAGCCAAGAAACGCTAACACTACAGATTAAGTATTTAACTTCTCATCGCTTGTAAGTCTATAATATAATATAATAATAACACAAACCTTCGTTGATCCGAATCACAGACGCAGGAGCGCGGCGCAGCCTTGTGACGTCACACCACCATACCAAAATAAAAGTCCCGTTCGATGTGAACGCAAGGAAAAGTACATGCATGCAGATACACATTCAATTATAATAATAGAGATAATGAAACATATGTATTCGGAGTTTTATTCTTGGTGAAATATATGTTATATAAACACATGCTGAGTAATTGTGTTTTTTTTTGTGTCATTTTTGTTTGATGCATTACCCAGTGTCGTAGCAAAAAATGTCATTTATACAAGGCTTGTCAATAAAATAAAAACTTTAATAGGGACAGATTTATATATATATATATATATATATATAAAATAATTGAAGACAAAATGTGTTCTACTGAGAAAAAACAAGATTTCGTTTTTAAAAAGCCTTTTTCCAAAAGTTAAAGGGGGGTTGTCTTATATTTGGGACAATACGGTATATATATATATATAAAAAACAACAACAATCAATAGGTAGTCAATAGGTAACTTGTTGCATTATTGTGCAAAATTTATGTAAATGTGTGTGTGTGTGTGTGTGTGTTACACACACATGCGAGCACTGCCATTCAAAATTTTGGAATCAGCAAGATTTGTAAAACATTTTTTAAAGAAGTTTATTATGCTCATCAAGGCTGCGTTTATTTGATAAAAAAATACAGGGAAAAAATAATATTGTGAAAAATTATTACGATGTAAAATGACGTCTTTCTATTTTAATATACATTAAAATCGAATGTATTCCTGAACACAGTAATCTTTAGTTACCGCAAAGTGAAGCACAACGACTTGTATCAGCTATGCTCGGCGGAAACAATTCTTCAAACACGGGTGAATCAACCCTTGTTCCCAAACCTAAGCAACAATCCATAGCATAAGGCTTTAAAGGGGTCATGAATGGCTTTTTTAAATTATTTTGTACTGTTCTCTGAGGTCCACTTATAATGTTATCAAAGTTTTTACATCAACACATCATTTTGAAGTAATATTTTCTGTCCTGTTTTGACCCCCCTCTTCATTTACGCTGTCTGAAACCGCATACTTTTCTACTATATACGTAGTATGTGAAAAACAGTGTGCGAGGCGAGTAGTATGTCCGAATTCATAGTATTTGAAAAACAGTAGGCGGGAAGTAGCTGGATGACCTACTGCTTCCTCCCGAATTCTGAAGTGCGCGCACACGGCGGGAATGCACCTTTTAAGTTGGTTTGCCAACCGCCATTAAATCCTAAAAGAAGAAGAAGAAGAAGTGTGCACACGATGGACACTTTACTGTCCCATGAGGCCACGGGAGAGGAGGCGTCATATTCGAAAACGGCGGAAGGCGGCGACGCGGCTCTTTTCAAGTGAAAGTACCTCAGGGAAAAACGTTGTTCACTTTAGTTAAATTGCACTTTAACACAATCCAAGTAAACGGCTGACTTATTGAAAGTTTAAACACTGTAAATCCATGAGATGATTTTTTTAATCGACTGTAAAAAGATGTTTAATCATTGTTACTACTGAGCACATCAAGTTAACGAACATTGTGCTAATATCAGTGCTGTACATCAGCTTGTTAACACTGCTTTTTTTTTACGGAGACGTTCGTTGTTAAGCAGTTTGATGAGATTCGAAAATTGAACAGAATTAAAACTATTTTTTCCCCTCTGTTACTAGTGTTAATATTTAGTTGATATTACGTTGGCTACATAGCAAGCTACTGTTATTAAGTATGCCTCAGCTTGTCAATGTAGCATTGATGGATTGATCATGACTAATGTTTAAATACTGTTTTGACTTTACAGATGAACACACTCGTCTCCTCATCAAGTGGAGAGTGGCTAATGAAGCCCTCTTCACTGGAAAGCACAATGCTGCCATCAAAGGTTTTGAGTAAGTATACAAATGATGTAAAATGTACTTTTATTCAGGTGGTGTTGAGTGAAAGTAGTACATACTAACACTTCAGGCAAAAGTCTTACTGCCTACTTTTTATGCTTGATTTCTGTGCATTTATTGCATTGTTTTTGTGACAGAGCAGGGACTTGAGGGCAAAATTTCTGCCGCTCAAGTCAAAAGAAAGTGCGAGAACCTAAAACTAAAATATTCAGTAAGATTTTTTTTTATTAGTTAACCCCCAAATTTTTATTAGTTCATGATTTGATCATGCTGTGTTTTTCCATGTCATAGTAATGCAGTAATCTAATGAATGTAATTGACTGTCTTGATATTGTGCTTTTCAATTTTTGTAGGATCTTAAATGTCCACAGACTGGTGTGAGCACCGAGGATGGTGAGGTTACAGCAGCATCTTGGAAATGGTATGCTGTCTTGGATGAGGCAATAGGGGGCAGACCCTCCATCACACCACCCAACCTTATTGCCTCATCCAGACCAGATGTTGCTGTAACCTCACCATCCTCAGTGCGGCTGAAAGAGTAGGGAGGAAGAGGAAGGAAATAGAGGAGCTGATCCATGAGATGGAGGAGAGGGAAGCAGAAAGAGAAATGGAAGCTGTTGAAAGGGAGGAGAGGCGATGGTGGAAAGGGAGGAAAGAAGAGAAAGAGAGACGAGAGCAAGAGGAGAGACGAGAACGAGAGGCCAGGGAAAGAGAAGAAAGAAGGGACCGAGAAATGAGAGAGAGAGAGGAAAGAAGAGACAGGGAGACAAAGGAGAGAGAGATTTCTTAAGCTTTTAGCGAAAAAAAAATAAATAAAGAATATTAATATTAACTACACTTTCTTTCCTTTTATTTATGTTGGGATTTTCAGTGTTTCATGCTGTTAGTTTCCAGGGATTTACAGTAGCTAGATTTTGTCAGTTGTAAAGTGTCTAATACATCTACTAATCTCACTAATCGCATTTATAGGGCTTCACTTTATTACCCCAGAAATAAAGTAATTTGTAAAATTAAGCTCAAATAAATATAAATATAACCCAAAAGTAACATTTGTGATACTTATTTAGAATTTCAAAGAATTGTTATACAAATTCACACACACAGCCTTACTGTGCGTTCACACCGCCGCCATCGAGAGTGTCAAAGTGACCGGAAGTCATTCATTTTCAATGTGAGCCGGCATCAAGCGACTTGTACGTTGAGGGCGTCGAGGAGAGTTGAAATCAGGTCAACTTTATGGTAATGAGCTATGACACAGTTCAGCGGCATCTGGTGGCAACCAATCGGAACGTAGAAGTCCACCGCTTGAGAGGATTCCAGAGAACGCAGTCCTGTAAACTTTGGTTCCGACCACATTAGTTCCCAAGCAAAATGGAGGAGAGGTTGATTATTGCTGTGGCGGGTTTCCCAATAATCTATGATGTGTCCCTGTTTGCATACAGGGACATAAAAAAAAATGTATGCGTGGACCAAGGTGTCTGAGATTGTTGGTGTTCCTGGTGAGTTGCTGAAAAGCCCTCTGCATTGCAGGTGATCCCACCCACCCGACACACAGCTTCTTCAGTCTGCTGCCATCAGGGAGGAGACTGCGGAGTCTCCAGGCCAGGACCAGCAGACTGAAGGACAGCTTCATCCATCAGGCTGTCAGGAAGCTGAACTCCCTCCCGACCTTGCCCCCCCTCCCCTCTTTTGCCCCACGCACCACTGAACTCTGACCCTCTGATGGACTCTCCCACTCCCCCCTCCCAAATACACACACACACTGTCACTTTAATCAGTCTGGAATAAGCTCTTTTGCACTACAAATAATTTTTTTGCACTACATCACTATATCTGCACTGTTGTTTACTTTACTGGTTTGCACTCTATCCTCCATATGCCTTGTGCTTTATATATTTTTACATTTGACCTTATTTGTATATTTATATAGTTGTATTTTGTATAGTTGTATTTTGTATTTAATCTGTATTTATGTTATCTGTATGCACCCAAGGGTCTGAGAGTAACGCAATTTCAATTCTCTGTGTGTATGTGCTGTACATGTGGAAGAATTGACAATAAAGCAGACTTGACTTGACTTGACTTGACTTGATATTAGAAAACGGCGGAAGGCGGCGACGCGGCTCTTTTCAAGTGAAAGTACCTCAGGGAAAAACGTTGTTCACTTTGGTTAAATTGCACTGTCAATCACAATTGCAAACACAATCAACGTAAACGACTGACTTATTGAAAGTTTAAACACTGTAAATCCATGAGATGATTTTTTTAATCGACTGTAAAAAGATGTTTAATCATTGTTACTACTGAGCACATCAAGTTAATGAACATTGTGCTAATATCAGTGCTGTACATCAGCTTGTTAACACTGCTTTTTTTAACGGAGACGTTCGTTGTTAAGCAGTTTGATGAGATTAGAAAATTGAACAGAATTAAAACTATTTTTTCCCCTCTGTTACTAGTGTTAATATTTAGTTGATATTACGTTGGCTACATAGCAAGCTGCTGTTATTAAGTATGCCTCAGCTTGTCAATGTAGCATTGATGGATTGATCATGACTAATGTTTAAATACTGTTTTGACTTTACAGATGAACACACTCGTCTCCTCATCAAGTGGAGAGTGGCTAATGAAGCCCTCTTCACTGGAAAGCACAATGCTGCCATCAAAGGTTTTGAGTAAATATACAAATTATGTAAAATGTACTTTTATTCAGGTGCTGTTGACACTGAACGTAGTAAATACTAAGACTTCAAGCAAAAGTCTTACTGCCTTCTTTTTATGCTTGATTCCTGTGCATTTATTGCAGCGTTTTTGTGACAGAGCAGGGACTTGAGGGCAAAATTTCTGCCGCTCGAGTCAAAAGAAAGTGCGAGAACCTAAAATATACAGTAAGATTTTTTTTTATTAGTTCACCCCAAAATTTTTATTAGTTCATGATTTGATCATGCTATGTTTTTCCATGTCATAGTAATGCAGTAATCTAATGAATGTAATTGACTGTCTTGATATTGTGCTTTTCAATTTTTGTAGGATTTTAAAATGTCCACAGACTGTTGTGAGCATCGAGGATGGCGAGGTTACAGCAGCATCTTGGAAATGGTATGCTGTCTTGGATGAGGCAATAGGGGGCAGACCCTCCATCACACCACCCAACCTTATTGCCTACCAAACCAAACATATAAAAGGTTACA